GGGGGGGAAGAAAAGCCATAAATCAAAAGAAAGCCTGGGCTGGGGGGGCCGCTCACCTCCTGGCTCCGTCCTGCAGCTCTATGGGGTGGCAAAGGGGGTCTGCGCTGCTGGGGGGGCTGTGGGGCTCCGGGACCCCCAACGTGGGGCTTTTTGCAGAGCTGCAGCATCAGCCGGACGGTGATGGTGAGAACTGAGGGCAGCAGAACCGCCGGCAGCCACTGCAGGCACTGCGCTGTGAAGGGGGGGGAGATGGGGATAAGTTTTGTGGTGGTCACATAGGGGTCGTGCTGGGCGTAACGGAGGGATGGGAGGAGAGGAGCGTGGGGAGAAGTGTGGGGTCGTGCAGCCAAAGGGCATTGAGGGATTTCAGCACGTGGGGATGCGAGGAGATGGGGAAAAGGGGGTTCCAGATCGATGGGAAGCAGCTGGCAGGATTGGGGTGGGATGGGCTGATAGGGGCTGGGATCTGCCGGGGGATGGGGGGGAACGATGGGCTCAGTGCCCTCCCCTCATCCTTCGCTGGGTGGATTTTGCTACGGATTGCAGAGCTGAAGCAATGGGATGGGAAGCGCTGGGAGCTCGGATCTGTTGCAGCCTCGCACCCCCGGAACCGGCGAGCGCAGAGCAAAGCTGCCCCAAGCGGTACCCAAAGTTATATCCGCGCATGCAGGGGATGGAGCAGAGCAACGAGAGCTGACCTGTGCTGCTGGGTGGGCTGGTGGTCACGCTGATGCTCCTGCCTGTGCTGCTCTGCGTGGCTGTGCACCCCACGGCGCCGCCCCACCGCTCCGCTGTGAGCCAGGCGAGGCTCCAGGCGCTGAGGACGCCACGTTCATCCATGGAGGCGGCCGTCACCAAGCTGCCGTTGCTGTGCTGCCAGCCAACCGCGTCCCAACCCTCGGGGACATCGTAAAGGTGGCAGAGCAGAGGGATGGCAGCCAAGGGTGGCTCACGCAGATCCGCATCCACGGGCAGCAGGATGGAGAGGGTGGGTTCCGTGGCATCTGCAGGCAGCGGGGACAAGGGTGGCGTGGTGGTGGCAGTGCCAGAGCCCTGCAGCACAGAGCTGCGCCCTCATCCCTCGCCTGCTTTGTCCCCGTGATGTCCCGATGCTCACCTGTCACCACCAACCTGGTGCCGTCCCCAAACTCAGAGGGATGAGTGGTGGAAGCGCAGTAATAAAAGCCGGAGTCCTCCTTCTGCGCAGAGCTGATGTGGAGGGAAAACAACCCGTCTGCTCTCCTCATCCCGGAGTATTTTCCATCTGAACGTGGGGAATTTGAGCTCTGGTAGATGAATTGCAATCTGCTGCCCGGCTGCTCCCGGTACCAATTCACAGCCCGGTGCCGACTCGCATTCCAGCCACTATCGGTGCTGCAGTTCAGCTCTGCTGTGCGCCCAGGGCGGACCCAAAGCTCTGCTGGGCTCTGCCGGATCCGCAGCTGTGCCAGAGCAGCTCCTGTGGGGTGAGATGCTCTGAGAGTGAGGCAGCCCCAAATCGGGGTCGTTTGGGGTTTTACTGGGATTCGGCAGCTCGGAGCCTTTTGATGGATGCTGGCTGCTGCCCAGAGCATAGATCTTATGGGAAAAGGGAATTTATGGCTCAGAGAGACCTGTGGGTGCTACAGAGCTGCCCTGCACTGGGTGAGGGGTGTCATCCTCATGTGAGGGGGCAGAGGATGGGACGCGGGGAGGGAAGGCAGCGGTGCCCGGTGGGGTTTGGATGGGATCATCAGAATGGATTTTGCCATCACATTCAAACTGCAGGAGATTGCACGGAGAATTTAAGGGTAAAAGAAAACAGGGTAGGATTTGGTGGAGAAACCAAATTCTACAGCAAATTGCATCAATGTGAGCCCCCCTCCCTCTGCTTGGACCACTCAGCCGATGCCAAGAGCTACAGGGAGAGGAAAGTGGGGCTGGGGCAGCACATACCGGGCAGCAGCAGCAGCAGAATGGCATCAGCCGGGCTGCAGGTCATGCTTGGATGGCGCTGAGCAAAGCTGCACGGCTTCAGGTTGCTCTCAGCTCTTGCAGAATGCTCTGAGGGGGGGATTTGGGGCGCTGGGGCCGAGGAGGAGCCTTCCTGTGCCGCATCCTGCAGCTGAGGTTATGGCTGAGGTGACAGCAGTGATGGGACGACGCACCCGGGTGGCATTTGGGGGCACAAAGAGGGGAGGGGGGATATTTGGGAAGGGGTCAGAGGTTGGGAAATGAGAACAGCAGTGCAGCTCTGACTCCATCACCCCCAGCCCATGTGCTTGGCGTGCTCCGCTCTCGTTGGCAAAATGGAACTGAACCACAGCTTGGTGATACAGGGGGGATTTTGTTTCCCTGCATTTTGTCTGTACCTCCCCCCCCCCCCACCACCACCACCCCCAGCCCCCTCCTCCAGGGCTTCAACCCTGCACTGCTCCCCCCCCCAGCGCAGCCCCAAGGCTGATTGAGGATTTGGGACCGAACTCCCTGCGTCCAGCCTGAGTGCAGCGCATGGATGGGGACACGCAGAGCACAGCTCCAACGCTGAGATGCTGCCCGTGGGCCGTGCAGGACATCGGGGGATGGGGGATGCAGAGGGACACGGGCTGCTGGGGGCCACGGGGGGGTGAGGGCAGCTCATGTGGGCTCCGTGTGGTTCCTGCAGCCGGAGCAGCGCTGCGGTTGCGCTCGCCTCGCTCATTTTATCACCCCCCACCCCCCTCTTTGTTGTTTTGTCACCTTGCTGTTGTTTGCTGCACACAGCCCCTGTCATTGCCATCCCCCACCCTTCTTGCTGCCCTCAGGCCGTCGGGTTCGCAGCATTTCTGTCGTCTTTGCTCGACCGCAAAGCAGAGCGGGGCGGGCAGCGCTGGGGGAGCAAAACTGCCTTCAGTCCTTTGTCCTTTAAAGGTCACTTAGGTGAGAGCCCGAGGATGGCAGTGGGGAGGGGATGGCCGTCCCCAGAAGGTCTTTGGCACTGCAGGATGCTGTGGTTTGCAGTGCTGGGTGCTGGGACTGCCTTCTCCCTCCACCCCATAGGGGAGGCAGAGGGTCCTTGAGGGGCCGCCTCCAGCCCCGAGCATTGCAGGAGTGGCTAAAAAAAACAAGTATTTGTGTTTTCAACCCCCAAATGTGAGTCCCACACAGCAACAGCAGGGTTGGGAGCTGGGGTGCAATCCTGCAGACCAGGAGTAGGGTGTCCATCCTCATGGGGAAACCGCTGTCCTCACAGGGACACTGCAGCACTCCTGGGGTCACCACTTCCATGTGGGATCACCATCATCCTCCTGGAGAGACCACAACATTCGTGGGGACACCAGAAAACTCATGGGAACACTGAGACCCTCATGGGGACATTAAGACCCACACGGGAACACTGAGAACCTCACAGGGACATTGAGATCATCACGGGGACACTGAGACCCACATGGGGACACAGACCCTCATGGGAACCCTGAGACCCCCATGGGGACACTGAGACTCTCATGGGGGCACTGAAACCCTCATGAGGCCACTGTGACACTTCTGGGGACGTTGATTCCTTTGTGGGACACCATATTCCTTACACAGACACTCCATCCCTTACGGGGACATCCAAGCCGTGTGGGGACACCACGATCCTCATAGAGACCCTCCTGGGGACACCGTGGGCCCTTATAGGGGAAAAGTGACTCTGATGGGGACATGGTGTCCACGTGGCCAGGAGGGAGGCGTTGCAGCCAGGGCCAATGCTTTGAGCAGCGCCCTGCAGAAGGGCTGCGCCGCACCGATGGCACCGAGGGGTTCCTGCTGCAATCCAGTGCTGGTGGCCGTGGGGCTGCTGCCGCTGTGCACGGGTGTGTGTTGGGGCTGGGGGGGCTTCATGCTCACGGGGTGCTGGGGGTTGGGGCTGGCAGTGACCTCGGTTCAGTCCCTGCAGTGCTGCTGGAGCTGTGGCAGCCGGATCCCGTCCTCTTTGTGGAACATGGGGCTGCGGTGAGCATCAGATGCATGGCAGATAAGTGGATGGATGGAGCAGGCAAAGTGCTGTGGTTCCGACACAGACCCGGAGAGCCACCCCGAGAGCTTCTGAACTGCATAGATAAAAGGTGGGATGTGTTCTCCTGTGAGTATCAGAAGGATTACGCTGTGCTGCACATCCAGGCTGCTCAGCCCAAGGACGCTGCTCTGTACCTCTGTGCAAACTTAATGGCCACCAAGCTGAAGTTCAGCAACGGCACCGTGCTGCTGGTGGGAGGTAGGAAGACGTGGGGGGGACTCCATTGGATGGGAACCTCATCATAGGCACTGAATGGGACCCCTCAGTCTGCCCCATCTCACACAGCCCCCTGCTTCCTCCCCACCCCATGCCCTCCAATGGGTTGGGACCCCCACATCCCTCCATTGGTTGGGACTCTCCCTGCCCTCACTGGATGCGACAACCCCCATCTCACCCCACTGGATGAGACCCCCATGGACCTCTACTTAGCATGCCCCCCAAAAATCCCCCATTGCTTGTTGTCCACCATCCATGTCCTCCCCACTGAAATGGACCCTCATACCTCCCCCAGTACTTGTGACCCCCACATCCCTCCCCAAAACAGACCCCCCCACACCCACCGGCACTGTGTGTCCCTACTGTGCTCCCTTTCTGCAGACAGCTGGAGGACCCACAGCTGGGTGCAGGTCCTGGCCACCCGCTGGTCTCCCCAGTCCCCCCTCAGCCCAATCTGTGCTGTGGGTGCCTCTGGTGGCCCCGTCCTCATCTCCAGGCCGGGGGGGGGACCGTCCCCAGGAGGTGCTGGGGCTGGGGAACAGCACAGAGCTGCTGATCAGCCCTGGGGGAGCTGGGGGGCTCTGTGAGGTTCGCTTCAATGCTTCTGGGCCCCACATCCAGAGGAGCATGGAGCTGCACGAGGCTGTGGGTGAGCACAGGGCTGGGAGGAGGGGGGAAAGGAGGGTGGGGTGACTCCCTTTCATGGCTCCTTCCAGCTGGGATGCATGGGGGGAAACTGAGACAGAGCAGATGGTGCAATGCTGGGGTGAGAATCAGAGGAGAGTGGTGTGGGGGTCAATGGGGCCATGGTGGCTGTGGTGGAGGCATGAGGGAAGGCAACGGGATCATTGTAGTGTTAATGGAGGCTGTTGGGGGTCCACGGGAGGATCCGGGGGGACAGTGGGGTCTGTGTGGCAGTGATGGGACACAGACTGGTCCCCAGGTGGCTGCCCATTGCCCAGCGCTGTGGGAATGGCTGTGGCTGGAATATTGCTGCTGCTGCTCAGCCTCTGCCTCAGTGCCCATTGCCTCCTCCCTGCACGGGCAGGTAAGGAGTGGGGCAGGAATGGGGTGTCCTCCTGCCCCTGCTGACCCCCACTGTCCTATGCACCCCTTTGGGGCTTCTCTATCCCACTCTGCCATCCTCAGTTCCCCCCAAACTCAATGCCTCCCCATCCTCCACCTCCCCATCACTGCAGCCCAATGCTGGGACCACGTTCCTGTCCCTTCTTCAGGCCATCAGCCAACGGTCCCGGAGCCTCCAGGATCACAGGTGGGGGTCCTGGTGGGGCAGTGAGGTGGACAGTGGTGGACAATGGGAGGATGTGGGGGGCAATGGGGGGCAGTGGGGAGCAATGGGTGGCAATGGGGAGCAGTGGGTGGCAACGGGTGGCAATGGGGGGCAATGGGTGGCAATGAAGGGATGTGGGGGATGATGGGGAGCAATGGGGTGGCAATGAGGGGAAATGGGTGGCAATGGGGAGATGTGGAGGACAGTGGGGTGGCAATGGGGTGTCAGTGAGGGGCAGTGGGTGTCAATTGGGGGATGTGGGGGGCGATGGGGAGCAATAGGGTGGCAATGAGGGGCAATGGGTGGCAATGGGGGGATGTGGGAGACAATGGGCGGCAACGGGGTGTTGGTGGGTGGATGGCGGGGCACTGCTGGGGGGGGACAATGAGGCCGTTGTGGGGATGGTGGGGGGCGTTGGGGTCAGTGGAGGCGGTGCAGGGGACATCGTGGGGCCGGAGCCGCAGTGACGGTGTCGGCGCCACAGGGAGAGCTGCTGTACGCACACCTCACCCTATCCGGACCCACACCGCCATGACACCACCAGACCCCAAACCCAACACCGTGCTGGGGTTTCCTGACCGCTTTACCTAAAGATGAACAAATAAAGGCCTTTACGCTTTAAAAACAGCCCGGCCCACAGCGCGCTGCTCTTCTTCCGTCCCCGCACCGCTCCCCAAAACGTCCCCGACGACTCCACGCTTTGCGAGTCCTCCCACCACCAAGGGGGCGCTGTTCGCTCCTCGCTCTCTTCCGGCCTACAACTCCCGTCGTGCCCCGCGCTCGCCCCGCCCCCTCCTTTCCCCTCCCCTCCCCTTCTCCCCCCCCGCCGCCATGGGGGCCGCCGTCTTCTTCGGTTGTGCCGGGATCGCCTTCGGCCCCGCGCTCGCCCTCGTGCTGCTGACGGTGGCGGCGGAACCGCTGCGGGTCATTATCCTGGTGGCGGGGTGAGAGATGACCCTGGGGGGGGGGGGTTTAAGGCCCGTAGGGAGGCGCTTAGGGGGCTGCTGGGAGCCACGGGGGTCGTTTGGGAGACCGGGAGCCTTTAAGGGGGGGGGGTTAAGGCCTGCTGGGGGAGATTGGGGGCCGAGTGGGCCTTTAGGGCGCATTGAGGTGGGTGTGGGAGAGCCGTTGGGGGACTGGGGGGGTCGTGAGGGGGTCCGAGGTGCTGTCGGGTGGGGTTGGAGAGGGGCTGGGGGGTGTGGGTGGCTCTGGGGGTCTTTGGAGGGGCGTGGAGGGACGTGTGGGGACACAGCAGGGATGCAAAGCCTCCCCTCCGTGGGATACAGGAGCCTGGATTGGCTCCGACCTGCCCTGTTATCAGGCCTGGTGATGTTATTGGGGCAGGTCCGGTGGCACAGCCCTTTAAGACCCCCCCCAGATTTCCTCCTCCCCCCATCCCTCAGGGGAGGTGTTGTCTGTCAGGGTGCTGCTGGTCCCCAGGTCACGGCTCCTGCCAGGGCTCTGCTGCTGCCATGGCTTAATGCAGGGTTCTCTGTCTGGGAAGGAGGCAGGAGTGGATGTGAGCCATGCTTTTCTCCCTGTGCTCATCTGTCCAAGGACAGGCCCTCGATTGAGCCTTCCTGAGGTGCAGAACCGAACAGCTTTCCCTGCTTCCGAGGGCAGCAGCTGTCTGCAGAAAAGGTTGATGTGGCCCCAAGAGAGAAAGGAAGATTTCTGTCTCTGAGTCTGTTTGATTTTCAGCTGTGTGCTTCCTCGGGCAGATTGTCACGTCTCACATGGCAGTGATCAAACAGCAAAAACTCTGCCACCAAAAACTTCCCGTGCTGACCTGGAGCCAAGACAAAGCACAGCAGCAGCTGATGGCTCAGTGTGTCGCAGCTGCACGATCCTTAACCTCCAGATCCTGAGCGCTGCCAGGGTTCCCTGTCTCAGCTCGCTGTTCTCTCTCTGCAGAGCGTTTTTCTGGCTGGTGTCGCTGCTCCTGGCCTCTCTCATCTGGTTCATTTCGGTCCATCTCAGCGACCAGGGCAATGCCAGACTTCAGTATGGCCTCCTTGTCTTTGGGGCCGCTGTCTCCGTCCTGCTGCAGGAGGCTTTCAGATTTGCCTACTTCAAGCTGCTCAAGTAAGGGCCCGTCGATGGGCAGCGCTCCCTGCTCCCTCACCCTGGGTCCTCTCAAGCTGTGTACTGAGTGACTTTCTGGTAGCTGTGGTCACTGCTGAGCTCTGATTTTTATCCACAAGTTTCTTCCTCCTTAGATCCCGCACTGGCGCTGTTCTCCTTCACTCCAAACTTGTTTATAACCACCACTTCCCATCCTGTCTGACGCAGCTCCCTTTGCAGGGCAGACCCCCACGCAGGCCCCGTTTCTCCCCACCTCCTCACGCTTTCCCTTCTGCCCAAGCAGGAAAGCAGACGAAGGCCTGGCAACGATCAGCGAGGACGGCCGGTCGCCCATCTCTCTCAAGCAGATGGCGTACGGTGAGCACGGAACCAAGCAGGCATCAGGCAGGCGCAGCGCACAGCAAGGCCCTGATGTCCTTGTCCCCCTCTGCAGTGTCAGGTCTGTCCTTTGGCATCATCAGTGGCGTGTTCTCAGTCATTAATATCCTGGCAGACTCCATCGGGCCGGGCATCGTCGGGATCCATGGGGACTCGCCGTATTACTTCATCACCTCGGGTGAGGCTGGGGGCTGGCTTGGATCTGCCCCACCTCAGCAGGGAGGAGGCGTGGGGGGCTGTGAGGGGTTCTGTGTCACTCTCTTCCCACAGCGTTCCTTACCATGGCTGTTGTTTTGCTCCACACCTTCTGGGGAGTGATTTTCTTCGACGCCTGCGAAAGACGCCGTTACTGGTGCTTGGGGCTGGTTGTCGTCAGTCACCTCGTTACGTCGGGGCTGGTGAGTTTGGTGCACTGGAGCAGACTGCCTCTGCACCACAAGCTGACCCCCAAGTAAAGCAGACGTCATCATCTGGGGGCAGCGAGGGGATTGCAGGGACCCCCACTGGGCTCTCAGGCTCCCTCTCTGCCACAGAGGCGTGGGGCAAATCCTGTCCCTTTTGTGCACCTCGTGGCCAGGGCGGCCTGTTCTGCTGTGCCTTGGGGACGTGGGATTTAAGCAGGGTTAGTGGAGGGCTGCGGGTCAGCTGGAGGATTATTTGCTAAGCCCTTGATGGGAAACTTGTAGGCAAGAATTTTAGCCAGGCTTAATGGAGCGCTGCCATGTTGGGAGGCAGCTGCATAACAGGGGGGCTCCCCCTTCCACACACCCTGCAGCCATTTCACAAGGGCCTTGCAGGTGCCCGGTGTGGCTGGCAGGAGGTGACGTTCCTAACTGTTCTCTGTCTCTGCAGACGTTCCTGAACCCCTGGTATGTGGCCAGCCTGGTCCCCATTTACATCATCACCTTCTGTATGGGCATCTGGGCCTTCTTCACAGCTGGGGGCTCCTTCCACAACATCCTCAAGTGCCTCTCCTGTAAGAAGTGGGCAGAGCAGGGAGGGGGCACCTGATATGGGGGTGTCACTGTGGCCAAATAGGGTTGTTTGGGGTCTGATTTTTGTATGGAGCCAGGAGCTGGACTCAGTGATCCTTACGGGTCCTTTCCAGCTCGGAATCTTGTATGGCCCTGTGCCCTGTGGGCATTTTGGTGGGTTGGCCTCAGCTGCCAGAGTGCAGGGAGGTCTGTGGGCTTTGGGCATCTGCAGCATCAGCTGAGGGGATGCGGGAGGATGGGTGTCACCCAGACCTGCCTGTCTGTCCCCCAGCAGCAGCTGCATCTCCTGGCTTTTGGGGGACTTATATCAAGCCACAACCAAGCCCCCCCCCCCCCCCCAAACACCCCTTCTCCCTGTGTTGTGAAACACTCACCCTCTTCTTCCTTTCTTTCCCCAGGCAAGCAGGAGGATGACAGCAGAGTGATGATGTACTCAGCACTGCAGGTGCCTTTTGAGGACTGAGCAGCGACGGCAGCCCTGCCTTCCTGTGCCGCCTCCATACCCAAGTGCCCTGTTTTTGGCAGCTGGGAGGTCTCAGTGCTGCCTTCACTTACGCTGAGGCTGCGGGGCTCCAAGCGGTGCCAGGGCAGCCTGGGGAAGCTTTGCTCCTCTGGAGCTCCTGGACGGCTCTGCTGAGCTCAGCCCCATTGCAGCCCCACTGAGCAAACCTTGTCGCCTGCCCTGACCTGGAGCTGCGGCACAAACTCTGCTCTGAGTCCCATCCCTTCCCTGCCACCCACTCTGGGCACCTTTTGGGGCAGTTTCTGCCTGGTGCCATGCTGTAGCCTCGTGGGCACCTCCTGGCCATGGCGCTCCCGTTAGCTTCGTTAATGACTTTCCATTAGTCTTTTACAGGGTCTCTCTGCAGGGTGAGCGCTGGGAGAAGATCCAGGTGCCCCTGGGGCTGCTGTGGTGCCCCCCAGGCATGGGAGAGGACCCCCCCCCCCTCACCTTCCCCAGTGAGGGGCTCTGGGCTGTGACTCTGGGACCACCCCCCTCCCCAGTGTTCACTCCCATGTTCCCATTCCCCTTTGGTTTTTGGGATGATATCTGTTGTTTTGGGGCCACAGAGCCCCCCCGTAACCAGCAAGGGGTGGGGGCTGCTCTGCCCTCCCCAGCTTGCTGCTCTCCCATTCTGTTGTATTGTTTTCTTCCAAGTGTCTGGGAGCTGCTGTGTGATCAGGGGAGGGAACAAGTCTTAAATTATTTTTTTGATTCAGAGTAAAACCCTTTTAATAGTGATGGCACTGAGATTTTGTGGGATGGGGTGAAGTGGGGGGGGGAGGGAATGGGGTCAGTGCTCTGCAACCTGCTCTGCCAGCTGTGGGGTTGGGAAGGGGCTTTGCTTCCAGCAGGGCCCCTTCTGTAGGGCTGAGCCCCACACGCTCTTCTTGTGCTGGGAGTCCTTCCTGGCTCAGGGTCGGTGGCTCTCATTTGAAGCCGCGCGCCGGGAGGAGGCCTTGAAAATGACGTCCTGCTCCTGTGTCCTCCGGGCGCTGCCTTACAGGAGAAAGGATGGGCTGAGACCCTCCATGAGGATTTGGGGGGGGTCCCAGTGCCCCCCAGCCCTTCCTTTTGGTGGTGAGGATTCCTCGGGGGGGTGGAGGAAGGGAGTCTCTCACTCACCGAAGCCGTTTGTTCACAAAGTGAACAGTGAGGAAGAGGCCGAGGCAGCCGAGGACGGTGCCGAAAACGATGGCGATGACTTCACCTGCGTGACCCCACAGAGGGCTCAGGGCAGGCAGGGGGTCTCCCCACCCCCCCAGAGCTGCCGCAGATGTGCTTTACCTGTTGAATACCCCTGGGGACCTGCAAGAGAAGAGCCAGCGCTGAGCTCTGAGGGCCTTTGTGGGATCCCCTGCATCCGTCCCACAGTTCAGTTCTCACTGCTGGTGAAGGATGCCAGCACTGGACGCTGGTTGAGGTCCTGGGGGTCCCGAAAATTGTCCTCCAGGCGCTCAGCTGAGGGCTCATCAACCGCTGTGGCATACAGGGAGCCCTGCAGCTGCTCCAGCTGCAACGGGAACAGGGTGGCTGTGACCTCCATCCTCACCCCAGCAGCCCCCAAAGCCCCAAAGCTTTACCTGAGCCGCGCTGATGTAAACGGGCTGCTGGAAAACGGTCCAGAGCACGCTCTGCAAGCACGGTGGGGTGGTCAGGGACCCATTGTAGCGGTAGTAGCGGTCCAGGCGCTCGGGCAGCAGCTCCTGCACGCTGAAGGAGGGGATGGACGTTGTCTGCCCTGCGGGGGACAGCAGCGTGGGGTTCCCCCTGCCTGCGCCCTCCCCTTCGTCTCCCATGCGCTGCCCTCTCGCTCGCACGGCCTCTCACCGGCGTAGCGGATGCTGCCCAGATGGTTCAGGATGTTGGCGTAGGCGGCGTTGGGTTCATCGCCAACCTGGGGGGAGGAGGGGGATGAGGAGGGGCTCAGGGCCGTCCTGTCGGGCTGGGGGGTGGCTGAGGGGTGTCCCGTCCCCCTCCCCGTACCTCCAGCAGGATGCCGAGCACGGCCAGCCCGGCTGTGTGATGCTGCGCCTCGCTGGCGTTGGCGTAGCGCTCCGCGTCGTAGTGCACCACGTGCATCTGCAGCACCGTGGGGCTGGGACCCCCCCCAGCCGTGCCCTGTGCCCCACACCTTCCCCCAGCCCCACACCCTGCCCCTGTCCTGGGCCCGTTCTGTATTGATTTCTGCACCTGGATCTGTTCGTGCACCTGATTCCCTCGCCTGCACCCATCCCCACGCCCGGATCCGTGCTGCTTCTTGCACCCAAACCTATTCTTGCACCCATTTCCCATGCTTGCACTCATTCACATACCAATTCCCATGCCATTTCCCACAGCCATTCACCTACCCGTTCCCTTGCTGATTCCTGCACCCACACCCATCTCTGTGCCCATTTCCCAGACCCATTCCTACACCGTTCCCATGCCGTTTCCCAGACCCCTTACCATTCCCATGTGGATCCCCGCATCCAGACCCATTCCTGTGTCCGTTTCCCTCACTTGGACATATTCCTGTACCTGTTCTTGTACCATTTCCCACACCCAGACCCATTCCTGTGCCAGTTCCCATACCTTTTCCCACACCTCTACCCATTCCCATACCTTTTCCC